AGTTTGTACTGGGACTATGTTCATGCCAGTGCATCTGAAGTGGATTTTACCCACGAAAGCTTATGCCCTAATGTCTGTTTAGCCAGCCTCTGGAGTGCCACAGGACTCCTTGTTTCTACAGATACAAACACGGCTACTCCTCTGAGATGGATGTGTATTGTGGTTAGTTTTGTATTCAGAGCTCCAGTGAGGGATGCATGTGGTAGAAAGTGGGGAATGGACGACTGACCCCAATATAAAAACAGCAAGTAATAACTGATAACTCTGGCAAGTGTGGTTTCAACTGTAAAAGAAGGCCTCCTAGGACCTAGGTAGGTAATGTGTCTATGGGAGAGTGCTGCTGATGTTCCAGAGCATCTAAACGTCAATGATAAGTGCTTTCTTTTCAAGAAAATAGGAAACTTGTGACTCTCAATAATTGGCTGGATACGGTTTCCTGAGGGGATGGCTGATGTCTGCACCTTTGAGTATTTGATTCCCAGCTAAGGCATTATCGCTATTCCATGTAACACCACTTGCTCTTGCAAATGAGAGAGAGACAGAGATGACTGAGGTTCTGCCAGATGGAAAAAAGACAATAAATCAATCATCAAATGGCTTGTAGCTTCTAAAATTGATATTAATCAAAGTATTAAAAGTCTTTTAAAAAAATCTTAAAGGCACCCTGGTAAGTGTCCCCAGAACACTCGTTCAGTTGTTGCTTTTGGAATGTCCCTACAGATGTTCACTGCATGTCTTACAGTTCTATTAAAGGTGACCTACCAAGGAAAAAGTAGTCTTGTACCTATTATAGATATAAATGTAGATGTTGGAAACAGCAACAAAATAAATCTTTCAGGTTTTCCTTTGTACATGAAATCTGCACAAACAAGCATGTCTTTTTAAAAAAAAAATGCTTTGCACTTAATTAGTCTTGCAAACTTAATATTTTGGTTGTACCTCTTTTCAATTGTGTTGCTTTGCTCTTGGATTTCTCCAGCTTCCTCTGACATTTCATGAAAAAACATGATGGTATTGGATACTCACACTCAGTAACAATGATGGTCCTGGATTTAAGTGTGAAAGACAAGCCATTTATGTTTGATGGGCTGCATACAGTGCAAAGTAGGTTTTGGTGCTGGTGGAAAGGGTTTTCATCTTGAGATGGGAAGAAGCAAAAAAGAATTGCAGATCTAAAAAGAAAACTCAGTAATTTACAGCTGTCCCAAAATGTTCTTCTAGTCACTGGATCTTTTGTGAAGATTACAATATATGTGTGTGTGTGTGTATTAGCTGTCAGTGTCTAGTTATGCATAAACATACAGATTCAGAATGTCAATTTGAATAGCAATTTGTCTGGTGAATGCTAGTTATACTAGAGTGGGCTTGCGACTTTTTGTGTTCTACTGTTCTTTGTATTTTGAGGGATTTTTGTCTTTGTTTAAGAACCAGACAGAATAAATCCTGTATGCTTAATAAAGTGGGCAGTAAAATTGCTTTTATTCAGGGATTCATGAATTGTGTGGTGCTGGCTGCCTGTACAATATGAATTGTGTGGTGCTGGCATGTACAATATCACTTCACTCAAGAATCACAAGTTGCTTTATTAGCTAGGTAAACTAGAAAGTTACCCAAGGAAGTGAGGACAGAATTGTCAGTTATTGCCCAGTAAAAGTTAATTGAGATGCACTCCCAATATAGGCGTGAAGGTGTTAAATCGTACGGTCATTTAATGATGATGATATTCTTAGGAGGTTAACATTGGAGAATTTCTGGTTTTGAAGCATTTCCAGTCAGATGCTGCTAAAATGATCATTTCAGGATAAACTGTGAATTGAAATACTTTGACCAAAACTCTACCTTAGATTTTTTTTTTTAATGAATATCCTAATGTTCCTGTTGCCGTCATATTTTATGCTTGTTTCTCCACTTTCTGTCCTGCTTCCAATCTGTCTTTTCCTTCCCATTCCCAGATAGCACTGTTGCTATTGGTGTAGGTATTTGAAATCTTTTACTTTATCTTTGATTCAAAGGAAACCTTCGTCTCCACTTCGTTCTACCACCGGTGTGTCCTGAGGTAAAAATTCCATAAGTTCTAACACCTGTAATATTTGAATTGCACTAAATTTGGAATCCCCCTTCAACTTCCCCCGTCAATTTGGATTGATTGATTATGCAATGACCACATTTTCAAGCCCAGGTTATTAATGTATGCTCTTGATCCTGACAATCTTTATACATGTGCTTACCATTAAGCAGGCATATAGTTCCATGGACTACTTGTGTGTCTAAAGTTAAGTGTGTCCATCCACAGAATCAGGTACTACACAAACTCAAGAGTAATGCTGAGTGTTTCTATCTGTTCTGCGTTTTTATCACTTTTTTTTTCAAGATTTAGCAGGAGCCAAGAAGTAAAACGAAATTCAAATGCAGACCTTCATAGGTGGAGCCAGGCTGCAAGATCCTAGTCCAGCAGTTCTCAACCTGTGGGTCAGGACCCCAAAGCGAGTAGCAAACCAACTGTAATGAGGTCTTTCTTGGGCTGTTAGGCTTGCTGGAGGCCACAGCCCAAGTGCTCCCCCCTTCTCTCCCTATCTAGGACTGAAGGTAGAGTGCAGGCTTTGGTCTCCCTCCTTCTCCCCCTCCACACACCGTTTTTAAGAATCTAGTCTGTAGTCAGCTCCAACTGCAGATATGCTTTTCAAGTGATCTTGGTGCAAATAGTGATTGCAGCTATTTATAGTTCTTGTTTGGTGGTTGGTATTTTACCCAAAGTGTGTGTGTCTACAGGCAACAAGCTGCCTAGAGGTTTACATGATGGGATACTAACAACTCAGAATGAAATTTTACCCTTAAAAGGTATTTGTTGAAAGCACTTGAACATATTGAATTCTTGAATTTGGGCTTGTTAACACTGACACTTTACTGCACTGCAGCTTTCTCACTCGGAATGTAAAAAACACCCCTCTCTCCCTCTCCCCCGAGTGCAGCAAGTTACAGCACTGTGATGTGACAGTGTAAATAGGCTGCCTGTAACAGGAGCTATGCTCCTTGCTTAGGTGGTTTACATAGAGCGCTGGAGGAGGTCTCTCCCAGCGTTGTGCCATGCCCATCCTTCCACTTTAAAGTGTGTTAATGTTTTAAATTGAGAACTACTGGTCTACACCTTTTTGACCTGTGGCCCATCTGGCTCAATGCAAACCTTTCTGCGGACCACCACTTGCTAATGCAGACCTGGGCAAAATATGGTCCGGCCCAGGCACTGCATCTGGCCCACAGACGCAGTGGGGAGCCTCAGACAAGATCCCTGCTTGCCTCGCCTGCTTGCCTCATCCCCACCTGCATGCTGCTCAGAAAACCATCTGCTGGGCTATTTACCTTTCAAATCTCCCCTCTAGCTTGTAGTTATTCACACATGCACTGGCTGAATGGCAGCCTGAGAAATGTGCTGGGCTGCTGGCCGGGAGTCACCCCAGATAAGTCTCCTGGCCAGAGCCAGCCTCTGACACCCCAACCCTCTGCCCCCCCACTCCACATACCCAAATCCTCTGCCCCCTCCTGCACCCATATCCCCTCCTTCCCTAGATCACAGTCCTCAGTGGTTGGGGGAGAGCCCCAGCTGGCTCAGCCCCAGCCCTCCTCCAGCAGCTGGAGTGGGGGCCAAGAGGCCAGGGCTGACTGCAGCCTTAGCCCTCCACTCCCCAGGAGCCAGGGTGGGAGCGGGGGGAGCCGGGCTTGCATACTCCCAGAGACAGGGAGGCTGGTGAACATAGCGAGCAGAGGGACATAGCTCCCTAGTACTAGTTTAAATTACTGTATACAGATTAAGCACTTTAACTTTTCCACATTAGTTCATCAAACTTAAATCAAGTAAAATATTGATTTATGCCCAGCACAAAAGGTTCCCATGTTTTCTTTATTTATGGGAGGGGTGGGGAACTGTTTTTGGGTCTGAGGTCACTGTCCCACAGAAAAATCAGTTGGGGACCACGCAAGTTGCAAAAATAGCCCTCCAAACCCCTCAACCCTCACTGATGTGGCCCCCAACTGAGACACATAAGGCACTCCAGCCCCATGGTGGGAGGGAAAGGAACAGGGAGGACTGAGGTTAAGGGCTTCCCACAGGCTAGACTTAATTTTCTGGAGTACCAGGGATAGTGGATTTTGTGGGCCCCCTTTGGCTCTGGGGTGGGGACAACAATGAGGTGTTCAGTGTGTGGGGCAGAGCTGCCAGTGAAAGGGATAGGAATGAGGGTGCAGGAGGCGGTGAGGGTGCGAGGTCTGGATGCAAGGTTAGGTGCAGGAGCAGGGTAGGGTGTCTGGCCAGCGGGGAAGGTGCAGTACCTGGGGGGAGGGGAGGAGAGAAGATTCAGGTTCTGAGCATGGGAAGGGGGAACTTACTTGCCTTTGTGCCTACCACTCCCAGGCACTGCTTCCCGCTGCTCCCATGAGCTGGATTGCAGCCAATGAGAGCATGGGCAAAGCCTCTAGACAGCATGTTGGGGAGGGGGAGCAATGGCATGCAGAGCCACTTCTGGCTCCGTTACTTCCCTGAAAGCTGTACTGCGCAGCAAGGCTCCGTGCTTTCTCAGCCCCCCCCAGTGGGAAGCCAGCACTGGCGCTCCAACCTTGCTGAGGGGACTGAGGCCGGAACACCAGGGGGAGGAAGGGGGACTGAGCTAGAGCCATGGACCACTTGTAGTCCGCAGACCTCAGTTTGAGAACAACTGGTGTAGATTTAGCCTTAGTTTTTCAGTGTTCCCCCTCTGTTCCTCCTTCCCTTCCTTTGTAGACACGTGGGTTTATCAAATTATTTTATAGTAATGAACTAATGTGATGAAAGGTCACAGCAGCATTTCTTTCCTAACAGTGATTTGATTTTTTTTTTTTTTGGCATAAATATTTGAATTTTTTTCTCCAGCAATATTCATCTCCATTTCTAAAATTCAGATTATACTTCTCTTTTCATCTGAGTTTCCAATGAATGACAGCAGAACCCCCTCTCTTTTCTAATTCTGCAGTTAAATATTCTGGTTGACACTGGAAGCAGTAATTTTGCAGTCGCAGGTGCCCCAACCCCTGATGTAACATCATACTTCAATACTGAGAAGTAAGTATCTTTTTAAAACTTTTTGAATGGGGTTGAATGTCTTGGGTACTGGCCTATATATGCAAATCAGGTGGATGAACTTCCATTAGGTATGTACAAATCAGTTAATTGACCAATCGATTAGCTGGGGTGCCACACGTTTTAACAGCGGTCCTGGACTGGCAGTACCAAGAAAAGAGAAATTAGGCTAAACAATAAAAGGAGTGGCTGGATACAGGGGGGAGGGCAGGGTGCAGACTCGGCACCCCAGACCTCAGTCGCCATCCCTGTCCATTTCCCCTTTGCCTCGCAAGCTCTGCGGAGCAAGAGACCTGCCGGGGAAAATCCCTGTCTAGAGAGCCAGGCAGAGAAGAAAGGTTCAAGCTCCCCAGGCCCCTTGGCTGCCTCTGCCTCCCTTGCCACCCCATGCCCTTCCCTCCACGTATCTCTCCTGGTGGGTGCAAACCCAGCATCCCCGCTCGATCGGGATGTGTGGTGGGAGTAGGTGAGATCCTGACCCGCCAGACTCGCAAATCTGCTGCTCCCGCCTTGCTTGTTGCCTGTAACTTCTGAACTGCAATCTTCTACTTCTGTGCAAATTTTGCTGTGAGCGAGCTCAAGCGGGGGGAGTAAATGGCGGGGATTGGGCTTGTTCCTGACACCCCAGTGTGGGCAAACAAACCAACCCACGTGGATTTGGTTAGCCAGGTGCAGAGTAAGTAACTTAAAATTTGCAGCAAGTGAGGAATTGAAGAAAGCCTGGCAAGCAAAGGGCTAAGAGGCAAGAGCTGGACCACATATTCTGGGGGTGCCGAGTTACCTCAGGGCGCCTAGGTCTGATTTTTAATGCAGTTCACTGTAATTTGCAGCATGTGCTTGTGTGTGCGTGTTGAAAATAGAGCAATTCTGGGAAACAAGCTGGAGCCATTTCACATGACGGTCTCCCCACCAGGTCTGGGGGAGCTGGGAGAACCCAGCTGGCAGGACACTCAGGCACCATTTCCATTAGGAAATGCCGATCACTGTCCTGTTCAATGCAGCCATTAATAAACCTACGTGGGAGTGGCAGAGGCAGGAGGAAATTTTCCTCCCAGAGCATCCAGACACTTTCCCCCTGCTTGAGTCAGGAGCTAAGCAGCATCCCCAGCCACAAAATAAGCACTGCAACTTCCCAACCTGATGCTCAGGTGAGGGAAGGGAATTAGCTGGATGCTAGAGAAGGGGGAAGGAAAGAAGGATGCAGAGGGGGAGATCATAGGCGAGCAAATGTCCGGGGTGGAGCGTTCCATAGTGCCTAACCCGGACACAGGATCCAGACCTGTGTTGCACGGTCCCATCCATGCCATGTGTGGCTAGCTCGGAGAGGGAGGGGGAGGACCCCCCTTGTTGTGTGATTTGATGTTGAGCCTGTGCTTATTAACTAGCATTCCCTATTCTCACCCCAGCCATGCCTCCTGAAACCGGGAAATAAGTATCCGGTGGAGGGGGCGGCACTGCAGAGATGGTGCTGGTGGGAACCTGCTCCTCCCCCACTACTGCCTCTGATATAGAGGCAGCAAGTGGGGGAAGCGAGTAGTTTACTCGCCTACCTGATAAGATTATCGGGTAGTTGACTACTCACTTGCATCCCTAACTTCGATTTCCATTAATTGCTGAATGTGGCATATGTGTCTTATTTTCAGCACCAGCATCTACTACTCTTCCTCATGCTGAGTAGCTCCTTACTCCACCACTAGTTCCACTGACTTCAGTGAAGCCACTTGCAGCATGAGGTGTTTAAACCTGGCATGTAAGATACCACATGCTGTAGAATCTCTGCACCAAATACAAGGTCAAGATTAATTGAAATAGCTTCAGTCCTTGTCATCTCGGGGTCTGGCTGTTTTCATCCAGAATGGGATTGCTTCTCATAAACCATACAGAAATATGCTGGACCAAATCACCAGGCAGGTGAAAGGCACTGGCTGGGGTTGTACCTCCCTTCCTCCCTCAGTCTGGTACTGCTCTAGCCCCGAGCCTCCCACCTCCATCAGGTGCCCTTTAGGGAAGGAGGGAATGAAGCTCATCCCTTCCCCCCACCCCACCCCAGTTCCTGCCTAGGGGACATTGCCTGCTGTTCCCCTTTGTCGGGGAGTGAGGGGAAAGTGCAGTTTGCTGCATTCCTCACTCTGTCTGGGGAATGCAGGGGGCTCATGGACCTAGATCTGCCCCTGCAGAGGGAAATGCACCCCCCACCCCCCAGTTCTGCCTCCTGAAATTGTAATAGCCATGAGAAGCACTGCTAAAGCAGCTTGGGGTCAGGTGGTGAGAGAGGGCTGGGGTAGTTATTTCTCCCCAGGGCTGCCTGCATACTAAACCCTTCCTCCTTAGCCCTACTCCAGAGCAATGATTTGAATGAAGCCATCTATATTTTGATTTTATTGCAAAAATTAATTGAGCCAAGCAATACCAGGTAAATCTTCTAGTAACTGATATCAATGTTTATTTTTTGTTTTATTTTCATGTGTGTGCAAACTTATGCATTTTAATTGTATTTAAATTTTCAGTTGTGGGAAACAGGGTATTTAATGACAATAGAAGTCAAGATTCAAAAAGTTAGTTATAACCATTAATATGTGAATTGTCAGTGTCACATCAAAATAGGTAGTAAGTATCTTTAAATCAACTAATATCCTGAAGCAGCATTTTTACTGTTTTGGGGGGGGGGGGTTGTTTGTTTTTCCCCCCCCTGTAAATTTTGATAATCTGTCGATATCAACTTGTTTCATGTGTAAAGGCAGTCCCCGGGTTACATACAAGATAGGGACTGTAGGTTTGTTCTTAAGTTGAATTTGTACGTAAGTCGGAACTGGTGTCCAGATTCAGCCACTGCTGAAACTGACCAGCGGCGGACTACAGGAAGCCCGAGGCAGAGCAACTCTGCCTCGGGCTTCCTGTAGTCAGCGCTGGTCAGTTTCAGCAGCGGCTAAATCCGGACGCCTGGGGCAGGAGAGCTC